TTTCCGAATTTGTTAAAAGAAAAATCACTACGAAAACAAAGAAGACTCAATTGTACAAGGTTTTATTATGCTAACATCACTCAAAACTTTGACCATTTATAATCCTTGTACAATAGAATAAATTGAATCAAAAATCTTGATTTTGGTCCTGAGACCCCAGAGGTTGATTTTCCTAGTCCAACTCCTATGTATGTAAAATTTATTTATATCGAGTGTGATGATTACACCCCCTTGCACATCATCTGCAAATATATTTAATGGGATAAAATAAAAATGTAAAGACATGTGTATTACTCAAAAAAGTAAAAAAAAAAACTTTTCATAACTTTAGATTATTAATATTAATAACATTAATAGTAAAATATTTAAAAGTAAAAAAAAATAAAATTAAATCATGAAAAAAGCACCTACTTTACCACCTGAATGCCTTAAAGAAATCTTCAAGTGTTTACAAAATGATCCGGGAACTCTTCATTCGTGTCTTTTGATAAATCGAAGGTGGTGCCAAAGTTCTGTTGGATTTCTATGGCAAGATCCTTTAAAATACCTTATGACATTTATAAAAAAAGCTCCAGATTCGGAAGAGTTATTTCATTATAAAACGATGTTGGAAACGTTGATTTCTGGTCTTTCTCCAGAATCCAAAAATATACTTAAAAATATTGGTATAGACGAATCACTTTTAAATACCAAACAAACATTATTTGATTATTTTAGTTATTGTAAGGTTTTGAAAAGCGGCGTTCTGAAAAAAATGATCAGCGAGGGACTTCACGAATATCATATTGATAAGGAAGAATATCAAAAAGACCGTGAACTGTTTATGGTTGAACAGGAATTATATAAACATTTTATTAGCAAAGCAAATTTTATTGTTTCACTTACTCTAGACCCTAAGATAAAGTTACATATACCTTATTTTAGTGGAGCGGATAAATGTTTTTCAGAACTGAAAGAATTGAACTGTGCTTCTGTTACGACTTCAGCAATATTTTATGGAATTGCACAGATCTCAAAGCATATTGAAAAATTGATGATCAATCCTTGTTGTAAGGATAACTTTGGCCTGATTCATTTGATCCGTACTCAAGAGAATCTACAATGCTGTCGTCTTTTAACAAACTATTCAAATGATGACGAGTATGATTTTGATTCAGAGTCGACCGAAGATCTTTATACTGATGAAGAGTGTTATGAATTGGGACAAGCGTTGATAACACAATCAAATTCTTTGACATTTCTTGAAATTAGCGGGACTTTTTGTATACCAATACTTGACGTATTGTCATTTAAGAATTTGACGACTTTAAGATACGGGGTGAATTATAAAAGTTATACAAATAATGAGATTGAAAAATTGGTATCAACCGGATTTCCAAAACTTGAAAATTTAATTATTTACGATGGTGTGATACCATTAAAAATTGTTATTAGTTGGATCGAGTTATCGGAAGGAAATCTTAAAAACTTATATTTAGGAACACAATATCGTGACAAAATAGTTGGATATGCTGAGAACATCATCAAATTATTGACACGTTCATGCCCAAATCTTTTATTTATTACAACATGGATTAACACGGCTTGTTATGAACATTTAGATCAACTATTTAAAAACTGTAAAAAGTTAAAAGGAATATCGTTGATACCGGTGAAAGGAGAAGGCGCGGAAGGTGACGAGTATCTAAAGACACTAGGTGAAATATTACCAAGCTCAATAAAAATCTTGAGATTAAGAACTGACAAAAATGAATGGAAATTTACAAATGAAGCATTAAAAACATTTTTCGAGTCAAGAAAAAGTAATGGGCCTATTTCATTACAAATGGTAAGCAATAGCAGTTCATCCAGTGTTCGTGGATACATCGACATTATTAAAAAATATCACGAGGAAGGAACATTAAGTGAGATTAGGCGGTTATTTTATAATAAAGATCACGAACCCAATTGGAAACCAGATGCCGGATTTCATTTGGAGGAAAGTTTGGACGCTGTTTTTAATAGTGATAATAGTGCTTGTAATTCCATTTATATGGATTCAGATGATGACGACGATGACGACGATGACGATGACGATGACGATGAAAGTGATGATAATTCGATTAATTCAATTGATTTAATACACACCTTCTATTTACAACATCAATTTTCTGATTCGGATACTATAAGCTCCGATGAGTCTTACGGACTCTCTATAGAATCAACCGAAGAAAATAATTCCTCTTCCTCTTCCTCTTCCTCTGAGGATAATAACGATAATTCTCCCGATTCTTCCGATGCAAACCTTTCTGATGGTAACGATTCACCCGATGACTATAATCCCGATTATTCAGCCACTACAATTCTTTAAAAAATCAATATTGAATTTTTCTTTATTTTTTAACAAATAGATTACATCGATCACATTCGAACAAGGGATTTTCTTTTTACCAATTTCATTTAAAATTATGTACAAATTTTATTATTAATATTTTCACTTTTTATTTCTCATTAATTAGTCAATTAGTTAATAGATAAATGAATGCTAAATTTGGTGTAATGATATTTTCCTCCAATATGTATGTGTGTGTATGTTGAAATTAAATAGTATGAATAGTAAATAATAAAATTATTATTAATATCAAATAATTTTTCTATTTTTTAATAAAATGTACATAACATTAATTAATATATATAACATCATTTAAATAATAAAAATAATAACAATAAATTCAAATTGAATTGTTTTTTTTTTTTTAAAAGCATGTTTTTTTTCATTCATCTCCAATCGAGAAAAACGATGAAAAATTTTCAGGATTAATATTATCATCATTATTGTTATTATTATATTTTGCTGTAATATACCACAAAAAAATTGATAAAATAATTATAAAAATAGAAAATCTCCATATTAAAACATCTTTACGTTCTTCGTTTGAATTTATCAATTTCATGCTCCTTGATGATAATGATGTAGGTGATAAGAATAATGATGTTGATGGTGGTGACGTAGAAATTGGGGAAGTATTTATTGTCACTGATGATTTTGACGATAATGTCGGTGATGGTGGTGACGACTTTAACCAATTATTTTTTAAATGTTCTTGTTGATCTTCTATCTTTTTAAAAATCATTAAATTTTATTTATTTATTTTGTTTTAACTTAATTATTTATTATACTTTTCTCCTTTAATTTTTTACCTTTCGAGATGGCAATCGTTTAATAATATTAGAAGATGGTGGTGGTGGTAATGGTGCTAAAGAACAATGTTTTACAACTTCTTGCATAAAAGGTTTTATTAGAGCTTTTAGTGCATCCTCATAAGTAAACTAGATGTGTGTGTGTGTGTGTGTGTGTGTGTGTATAAGTTTATTTATTTATTTAAAATAATTGGTATTTTTTAATTGAAATAAAAGACAAACCCATTGTCTATCACGTTCATCCATTTCTGGCCATCTATCTTCTAATTGATCTACCTCCATCTCAAAGAAACTGAACATTGCTTTTGGTAACCCTGTCGATTTATTTATATCATGATCCCATGCTCCAATAAACGATATAACTCTGCCTCTTGCTCCAGCTATAATAAATATATTAGTAAAATTAATTAGAATAAATTTTTAAATCAATTCATTAAATCACTATCTAGAATCTATGATTGTAGTTTATTATATATGATATACCTTCTTCGTATGTTTCTCTAGCAGCAGCTTCTTGCTCTGTTTCATCATTTTCCCAACCACCTTTAGGCTTTTTTTAAAAAAGGGCATAATTATTACTTGTTGAAAATATGTTGAAAATATAAATTATTAATAAATAATTGCTCACCAGTACCCAACCGCCTTCTTTCTTTCTTCTTGTTATTAATAAGATTTTTCTTGTATTTTTGTTAATTGGTACACAACCAGCAACCTATAGAACAAACGTATATGTGCATAATTTATTCAACGTTTTACTTTTTTTAAAAAAAACTTTTACTCAAACAAACCTGACGTATACTGCCTTTTTTATATACTTGTTTATCTCGTCCTGTCCTTGCTTCCATAGGCTTAGAAATGTTTAACATTTTGAATTTAAACTATTAAAGATAAATTTTTGATTTTTATAAAAAAATGGTTTCCAAAAAAAAATTTTTTGATTTACACTAATATATATACAAATTTAATTCCCAAGAAAATTCCATACTATTTCTATAAATAATTTTTTTTTCCGCGCCAACAGATTTTTGTGAAAATCCTCCTTGTGAATTGTGGCCCATTTCAACTCAGAATAAAGAAAGGTAAATAAGGTAAATGTAAACGTGTGCTCAGTATTTGTAGTATTACAACCTCGATGGGAATAATAATAATAATTTTCCTCAAACGGTTCGAAATTTTTTCGGTGATCGACATCGAAATTTTTATTATATAATAAAAAAATTAGCCACAAACCTTAATTTTATCTCCGCCAAATTTGACACATAGATTCCTCTTCTAGAAAAAGTTAAGGGATTAATAAAAATAGTGAAAAGTCTTGGCGTTAAAATCTATCAATCAAATTATCGTATTTGGAAATTAATTATCACTTTTCTGGTCGTACATTTTTTAAATGAATTTATCTTTTTTTTTTTCACGCCACAATTTTTTGATGAAAAATATTAAAATAAAAATTTTATTATTTTTGTATTAGTAAACTTATTAACAATTGAGCCCTCGTATTTTTACATGGATAGCAAATTGTAAATTCATTTGACTTGTTTGCCTGTTCATTCAAAACCATTATGTATGGTGTTGTTGTATGTGAAATTGAAACTATGTGAATCGGAATTTATAAATCAAAATTTGGGGTAGGGTGTTTGGATATGAATTCTGATTGGCTGATTTGAATTTCACATATGAATTTCAAATTTACATAATTTCATTTTTTTCACACACAACAGTGTCAAATGATGCTTTGGTTACAGATGTGCATTTATAGAAAAAAAAAGATAATGATCTACATGAATGATCCATTGCCAACAAAACTGCGCAAATTACTCCTGAATGGACAACTTGGACATATACGTACAATAGTCCATTGGCCCAATGAAAAGTCATTGGATGTTGGTTGTCCATTGCCAACACTGTGTGAAAATTGATAAATTTTTAAATCAAGGTTAAATAAATGTTTCCCATAATTAAAATTAAAGTTATTAACTCTGAACAATATGAACAATATCAAATATTATATGTATATTGTATGCAATTGTGGCGGGGACAATGATTTTCTGCATAGTACAGAATGTTACAGAAATCACATATTGTTTATTTAAAACTATACAGTCAAACCTTGTTACAGTGGATCTCACCACAGCACAATGTAATTAAATCCTTGTCATAATGGATTTTTAAAAAATTTTCTTCGCATATAAAAACAAGTATTATGACCTATTAAAACCTTATCTGCTACAACTCAGTAGTCTGTTAATATAGGGCTAACACTAAGAAATTTACTATTACTACGTACAGTGTAGATTATCCATATACAAAAGTTGAAAATTTTGAAATATCATGTGATCCACTTGTTTGATTTTAAAAAACTACTACCATTCAGTTCAGTTTTAAAAAGAGAATTCAATTCATGTAAAAAATTTTGTCTCAACCTTTTTCATAGATTTTTTTAGATTTGTGAGTTTATTCAATAATAGTTTTCATGTTGCAATATTTTGAATTTACATGATTCATTAGCTAGCCAACAAAACCTTTTTAGCTATGAAGCATTGATGTTACATTAAAAATTAAAAAATTAAAAAGTTTTCATGCAATAAATAAAGAGATTTATATGTGGTTAAAGTTTGAATTACACACATCATGATTGTGTCTTGTGTAGTGATGATGGCTGAAATTATTCTAGAAATCTGAAATAGTTTACCTATAGAAATTAGGAATTTAGGTTCCTAAACTAGTGACGAAACTTAAAAATTACCTAAACTATGGGCAAATTCCTAAACTGTGGTTAAATTGTCAAACCTATGACCAAAGTTTTATGATAAATAAAGCGGAGTGCCGTCCTAATCGTATGCCGGCCATCATCCACTAGCTTTGTGTCTTTAATTATGTATTGCGTCACGAATTATCTTGAGTTACGTATTGTGTCACGAATTGTCTTGAATTACGTCTTGCGACACGAATTGTCTCGAGTTACGTCTTGTGTCACGAATTGTCTTGAGTTACGTCTTGCGGCACGAATTGTCTCGAGTTACGTCTTGTGTCACGAATTGTCTTGAGTTACGTCTTGCGGCACGAATTGCGTCCTACACCTCTTGCATCATGAATTGTGTTTTGCGTCACGCATAACATCAATTGCAGCATTTAAACCACTATAACTGTTTCTTTTTTTTATTTAATTAATAAAATTTAGGTAAATAAAACTTATTATCTAAATTTATGTAAATCACAAAATTTCCGAAATCAGCCCGTTAGGAGTTTTAGCTTCAAGTTTGTGTAATTATTTACACATGTTGATCAATTAACAGGAGAGACCTGTATAAGGAATCTTCACAATTGATTTAATTTTTTTATACAGTTTAAAATACTTTTACAAGGGTATTACGTAGCCCATCTTGCAATAAATCATGTTATTATTACGGCGCAAATCATCTAAAAACATCACGTGCCGCTCTACTTTCCATGCAGATCTTTACTTTATAAAGATATGTCACGTGAATAATTGGTAAATCATGAAACTAATTGGTAAATTGCAGTTAATTTTATAAATAAACTCAAACTTTCTATTACAGTGTGCGAAATTCTCTTCCGCTTTTTCATGGTTAAAAACAATAAACTATTAACTCTGTTAATATTCCATGATAATTTCCTCTCCCAAAAGCGGACATTTAATTCACACTTGGTTATATTTCATGTCTAGAAAGTTGCAAAAACAGAGTTTTTGGTAAAATAGTCCATATTTAGTAAAGTATCAGCATTTTAAAGATTGGCCAACATTTTATGATATCTTTAGATAATTAGCATTAGTAATTCAATTCCAAAATAATTGATTTATTAATATTAAATTAAAAATTATGACGCGTGTACATACACTAATAAATAATAAACAAAACAAACCGGGATTTTTGGTGTTAGTAATTAAGGGGAACACATTTCGTACCCTGCACGAGAGTTCTAATTTTTCCAGAATCGATTCAAGTCGAAAACTTCTTTTACTAATACTAATTTCAGTTTGAAGTAAATTCCTCGTAAATTGCCGTTTTTGTATTTTTGTTATATTGCTATATTGTTTCATTATTTTCATCATTTCTTATTTATTTCAAATTTAGTTCCTTCATCCTTTATGTAAGGGTTGATCCTTTTTTTGATTTTCTCTTGTCCGCTTCTCTTTTCTCTCAGTAAAAAGATGAGCTTTCCCTTTTGAATTCCTTTAATTTCTTTTGATTGTCGGATGATCCAACCTTTGATTTACGAACTCTTCATCAATATTTTTTTTTTCCAGAAAAATAAAAGATCACATAACAGAAATGGCGGTAGTAAATATAAATTTATGACTCATCATTCTAGTTGATTAATTAGCTTGATTTTTCAATTAGGATTATATATCCACGTTCTTATGCATATATGTTTCAAGCAAAAAAGAACAGACAATGAATGTTCATTTACCTTACATACCAGAACGTGAAAGTGGTTGGGAAACAAAAAATATGTTTTTCCCGGAGGAGAAAACAAAGAGTAATTTTAATTTTATAATAAGATAAATTAGTATAGATAAATTTTATAAACTTTAAATTTCCTGTCAATTTAAACCAAAATTTGCAAATGTTAAAATAAATTTGAAATAAATTTTTACATTAATTAAAAAACTAATATTAGCACTAGTGAAGTAAGCCCTTGATATGGAAGAACTGATGTATAGTAATAAGCAAATATTAATACTAATTATATATATATATATATGATTTTTAGCTCTAATTTCTATACCTCATTAACCCATCATTATTCAAATACCATGATCATTTATTAAGTTCTAGTGGTGAAGAAGGTACCCAGACATTTACTACAATTGGAACGTATGTCATTAGATAAAGAGCTTGAAGATATTGAAAAAATTAAAGAAGGAATTGAAGAAATCAACAAAGAATTACTGTAAAAGTTCAACGACGTGGTTTAGGGGCATATATTAATTAGACTTTTTTTTTGTATGTACAATAAATTTATATTTAATTGTTTGTTATTCGCTATTTCTTATTTATCACTATTATTATTGCCATTTTAATTATCTTCGTCGTCGTCATCATCATCAACTATACATACAACGTCATTGTCAGCTTTTTCATCATCATCTTCTTCGATTATACATATATCATCGTCATTTTTTTCATCATCATCTTCAACTATATATACATCATCATCATCGTCATCTTCATCTAAAAATATGAAAAACATTTCTCTTCTAGGAAATAATGCTTTTTTATTTACATATTTTATAAAGCTCATGCTTACAGCATCTCTAACTACGATACTTAAAGTATTGGGTTTCGGAGATATAGTCAATAATTCTTCTTCCTGTGACACATAATGAGTTCCACCTTGCCAATTTATATTCCATTCATGAACAATACATGAAAGTATTACATCCAGACCTTGTTTATCCATTGCATGATCATGTATTAAAGTGTAATCACCACATTGAAATCTCCTTATTTCAGAAGATATGGCAAGTGTATTAAAACATGATATTTCTGAAATAAAAGATTTAAAAGTGTCAGAAAGAAAGAATTTATAAATGTGCATGTAATAGGGGGTATCGGCATCCTCACTGCCTTCTTCATCTATTGTTGGCCTTTTGATCAAGTGATATTTACGAATAAAAGGTGGTCCAACAGGATCATCATTCCATTCGGCATCTTTGTCAAGACTCTTAACTAATTTGTTGTAGACATCTTGTTGTAAGAATTGATGAAGTTCGATCGATGCTTCATTTCTCAACGCCTTTAAAATATTTTTTGTACCTTCTTTAGTAAGATAGACAGGATTAACGAGTTCATTGATATTGTAAACTTTTGGAATTGGTGGAATGAATTTTGCTATTGATAATCGAGTGTTTAAAGGTCCATGAAACCAACCAGAAATTGAAAATCGAATTTTTGAATTAGTCAAAACTTCAGAAACTTGGTGATAAGAAGTTGGACTCAATTCAAAAAAGACCATGGTGTTCCATGACGGAATTATCGATCGTATTATTTGATTTGGTTGTCCAAGATTGTCTCTAAATATATATATACATATTAAAAAAATTTTTTGCACACCATTTAAAAAAGAAATCTACAAAAAATCTATCTTTATAATTATCATTACATTTACATGTTAAACAAATCCAATTTTCCACCATCATCTTCACACCAATCCTCATCAACTAAATAAATAATAAAGGCAATCCTTCTGCCATGCATGTTATCATCATCTTTAATATCATCATCGTGACATAATAAATAATTCCCTTGAATGTATTGATGAGCTGATAAATCTGGTGTAGAATCCAAATCCACCACACCTGTTAATTCTGAAATTGTTTTAACAAATAGATCCGAATAGATTGTTTCACGAAGCTTTATTAAATTTGGTGACTTTGTTAATTTCAAATCCTCGCTTTGATAAAATTCATACAAGTCATTTGATTTATGATAAAATGTATCAGCTTCTAATTCTGATCTTATTGATTTTAGAAAATCCGAAGAAAATATGTTTGGTAGCAAAGTTATAGGGAAAGGTGAAGTATAAGTTTTTGCTAAAGTAGCAGGATCGTTAAACTCTTGCTTATTTTGATATGTTTGATGAAATTTTTTGATAAATTGTGAATTGATATAATCAGAATTGATAAGAATTGATGGATCATTATCGGTGTTGTCGATAATTGTTAAAGAAGTTTTTTCATTTGTATCAACGGTTTTTATTTTTTTATTTTTAAAAGAAAGTTCTTGATCTGCCGAAGACAAATGTTTTTCCATTTTATTATAATAAAGATGTAATTCGGTTTAAAAAAAAATGTTGATCTTTGATAAATATATTATACTTTTATGCAAAAAAAAAAATTTTTTATCAACAATTTTTTTTTAAATTAATTTATTTAGTATGTGTGTATATATATATTAAGGATAAATTGCAGCTTCAAGCCATTTAATCTCATTGTCATCACTATCTTTGACAAGATGCCATCTAGTTCTTTTATTGGGCCAAACTGATAAATCCAATCTATCAACTTCATCAACCTCCAATATTATTAAGCACATATTTTCATGAACTTTTGAATCTGTTACCTTCTCGATATTCTCCTTTGATTTACTTTTTTCAGTATTGGTAGTTGCGATTATTAATTCATCATCGTCTACAACTTTATCAATCGTAATTTTACCGCCTGGTGGTTTCTCGGATATAGCAGCATCAAATGAATGTTTAATTTCAAAAGAAAGTTTTTGCCAATGTTTAATACGTTCTTGTTCCCAGTTGAAAGTTGATGGCAGCAAATGAGAATTTACGAGTTGAGTATATGATGGAGATGTTCTTAATGTAGGATGTATAATATACGCATTGCCTGATAATCTTAATTGATTATTTGTTGAAGGGAACCACCTGTTGTTGTATTTTATACATTTATACTTATAATTACTATTAAAAAATATAATTTTCATTATAATAAAAATTCATGAATTTTACCAGCAAACTTCATAACCAGGATTTTTTAATATTTGCTCAACTTTTTTAGTTCTAATATCGGTTGTTATAACCAACAAATCAGTTTCAATTGTCGGATCATCATCATCACTATGATTTAGAAATCCACGAAAAATCACACTACGATTTGATGGTCGATTTGTAGACGAATCAAAAGTTGATAACTAGAGTTTTTAGGGATAATCAATGAATTAAAAATTGATATCGAACAAATAAATGGTTTATACATACATACATATATATATATACCTGCATTGGTTGCATTCTATTCGAAGTTTTGAAATGTTCTGTAATTAATGATTTTATTATATTTTTCCATGGTGCTGGTGCCATTTTTTGTCTTTCTTGGTATTCTAAATTTGTAAATAATTCTTTTTTGAAAATCAAAAAAATTCGATGATCGTTTTCTTATGGAAAATAAATAAATAGGAATTATATCAAAAACATTGTTAGCAAATGGATATTTGGATGCAATGGCACACAGATTTAATTTCAATATAATTGTAGTAGCATTAATAGCTTGATTTGCATAAAAGAAAACAATCAATCTATAAATAATCGTTAGCACAAGAAGTTGAGAGAATTTAGAGGTCAATCAAATCAATATTCATCTATTTTTCCCAATTAATCGTGGACCTTCAGTATATAAAATGGTACGATAATGTTGGCATGATGGTGTGCAAAATATACAATATTATTATAACTACGTTGAGTATTAATAATAATAATAATAATAATGAATACAAGAATCTATATTCAAATAAGAAGAAGAATCTAATTCAAAATGGTGAAAATTTTACTAGTTAAAAAAATTTATAAACATCGTTAGAATCTACCATGAAAGAATGATAATAGAGAAAAAGAGGAAAGAAAAAATTGCTTGTTGGAATCGTTTATCAAAATGGTTTGCGATCCTACTAGCTCATTAAAATATAAACTACACTTGATTTCTTTGAAAAAAAAAACTCCACGGAAACAAAATGCCCAAACAATAAACTGTTGTGTTGTTATCATTATTATTATTATTATTAATATTAGTATTAATATTAATATTAATATTGTTATTATATCAACATTATTATTAATATTAATAATATTATTATATCAACATTATTATTATTAATATTATTATTATATCAACATTATTATTATATTATTATTATTATTATATTATTATTATTATTAGGTTATATCGTAAACTTATTCAATTCTGATTAAAATTCCTTCTAATTTTAATTATTCGGATAAAATATAATGGCAAAATTTTAACCGATTATTTTAATTTTAGCAAGTAATCAATCGTTTAATCATTCAATCATTCAGTTCGTTGTTTCTTTTTTGTTGGATTTTGTAATTCTTCTATTTCTTCTCTGAGTCTTCCATTTTCAGCCTTTAACAATTCAACCTGTGCTTGTAATTCTTGAATAGCTTGATCTGTCAATAATTTTTCCAACTCCCACTTTTCAATATTAGTATTTTCGTTTTCTTTAAGTTGTTGAATGTATTGAACTGATCGATTGAGAATACTACCTTTATTTTTTTCACAACCAGGCACAATCTTTGCCAATTCACTAATACCAGCATTGATTGTATCACGTCGACGACGTTCAACCTCTTTATGGTTTTCACGACGTTGTCGATTCCATTCATCACTACCTACGGGAGGTCTACTACCACTCGGCGTTGTTTGAGGTGTTGATGATGCAGAAATTGAATCATCATCTCGTAATGGAGTGTGAAGCAGTGATGGCGATAATTGTTGAGCCTGTTGAATTTTTTGAACGATATGTTGGGGAGTATGTGGAGCTAATTGAATTGGTAAATGTGATTGTTGAATTGCTACAAATTCATTTTTTATTAAAGGAGTACTAGGTGCTGAGGAAGGGTCAACATTGGTGGGAATTTGACTACTACTATTAATTAATTCCATAAATTATATAATACGTATAGATGTAATATAATGTATATAGTCGTATGTTAATATTACCAAAAATAAAATATTAATAATTAATCAATTTTATAATCGCTTTAAAAAAATCTTTATACTTTTGTTGATTCATAATTGATTTAGCTTGTGTTGCAATGGAAGGACTAGGTTGAAGTTCTTCGTTTGTAGAAGTAATTCTTGGTGATTTTGGAGAATTTTCAGTGAAAACACCGCCCTAGATAATATTAATATTAAAAATGAGATTATCTATTATTTTATAGTTGGAAATTTAAATATTAAATATAGAAAGAAAAATGACTCCATACCATTTTCAAAAGTACAGTTTCTTTAGTTGTTTGTAAACGGAAAAAAAAAGTATATAACGCACTACTACGTCTTACAATCCAAGTCAGGTGAACAATAATAGAGTCACGGTTTTTCTATATTATTTCTCACAAGAAAGAAAAAAAAATTTTTTTTTGAAAAGGGTAATAGTAAAAAATGACTGGATGATATTGATATAAGGTGACATATTTACCATAATTGATTAAGTTTGTACATCAATATTTTTAATTTACTGCATGGTTACAATGAACTCAAAAAGACGATGATGATGCCATAATATGTCACAAAGGTCAGCAATAAAATTGGAAGCCAAGCGTTATTTGAGCTACTTTAATATTTTTCCTATTAATCTATTTGGTGCTTGCAACTGTTCTACAATTGCCAAGTAATTCTCTTTGACCAGGTTTTGGTTCTGCTCTTCTCAAATTCCCTATTTGCATGCATACGAAGATAAAGCACAAATCGAAGCGTAAAATATTCTTTGTCCATCGACGACTAAACTTTGGTGGAATTCTCTATTTGTACAACAATGTAGGCAGTTGGTGTTATTATTTGGCACATATATATGTTTGTTTGTACTCTTAGATTTATAAAAGATTAATTAAATAATAAATACAATTTTTTGAAGAGAAAGAGTAAGTAATTTCCTTGATAATCATTTCCGAAAATAAAATAAAATGAATACATAGTAAGAACTTTTATTACGCTAATTTTCTATTTATTTATTTTATCATTGACTAATTACGACCAATTTAATTAGTTCTTCCATCTATATTAATATTAATATAGTTTCGGCGTCCTTTCATCCCCGAAAAAGGCCATGAATCCGAAATGCAATTTTAGTAAAAATTCAAAGCTTTCGCTTAGGCTATTTAGGGAGATCGAGTTAACCTTTAGTTTTACAAAGATAGTTAGACATTGTATTCGAATCTAGAAGATGGTGTATTTTCTTTAATTTTCAATTATTTAATATCATCTGTTTAAATATTCAAAATTTACATATTACCTTGATTCTGTTCTTCGATTATTTCACTAGGTTCATCAATTCTTTTATACATTTTCCTTTATCATTCGTTATTATTGTTACTAGGATCCGACTTTAATCATTAAATTAAAATAATAATAAACCTAAACTAATTAACCAACAATAAGAAATTCCAAAGGTTTCATTGATTCGGCCCAACATCCATTATTCAGGCCAAAAATTAATTGGTATAAAGTCTCGTGATCTTTTATTTTTTAATAAAGAAAATTCTAGGATTTGAAATAAAATTATTTTGATATTTTATATTTTATTACTTTTGTTGGAAATGCCGAATTAGGTTTGATAACACGTCACGGTTCCAACATTTCGATTTCAACCAATTAAAATTTTCAAAATTCGAAATCGAAAAAAAAATATATATTGATAAGAGTGCTGAAAGACCTCTCAACATCGCTTGGACATATTTTTAATAAAGGTACAGAAAGATATCCTGGAAAGTGTGATTCCATCTATAACAAAAGGAGATTCGCACCTATTGAAAGAATTTGTTTAATAATCAAAATCTAATGAAAAGAAAAAACAATATCTCGCTCGAAAACAAAAGGCAATTGATCAAGCGTCGACAAGAATATTTGTTTGTTGTAGATTACTTTTTTTTTTGGTAGAAACCCTATCCTTCATCGAGTTTGTTAATCCATTAAAGCCTGCATATAAACTACCTCTAGATTTAAATTATCCAAAGATTTTGTTAATGTGTAAGTAACGAATATGAATGTAAAATTTGATATTGAATTATTATTAGAATTTCACATTAGATTTTGAATTTCGAAAACTTCGAAAATTTTAAGTGACTTTCGCCATCATATATTAGTGAACGGCAATAAAATATTACAAAAAACACATGATTTTTTCTTCAGGAAAAACTGATCAGATTGGGATTTTTAAAATTTTCACTGCTGTTTAAGGATTGTCAATTAAATTCTTTTTATACTTGTTATTTAATCACTTATGGAAGTATAAATGGTCGAAATTTTCATTTAGAACTTGCATATAATCATTTTTCATAAGAATTTGTATTACGAATGGTAACTCTAGCTCAATTAAACGTTTTTCATTTTGTTCGAACTATTAAATTCGCGTTACAACGAATTTTTTAAAAACATATGAAACATGATTAGTAATTTTGGTAACTGTATGGAACCTAATTTTTTTTATTAAAAGTACAAATACTGTTGAAACATGGAATCTTGAATTGTTCTCATTTGAAATTTTTTAGTTAAATTCAAGTACGTTATATAATTCATTATTGTTTTACTTTTATTATTTTCAATGGTCTGCAAAACCGTGATTTTATAAAAAAAAAATAACATTAAATTTCAAGCTGGCTCGAGCTAGTGCTGAACTCGAATATTCGAGTCGAGCCAAGCAGGTTAATAATTATAAGAAAATTAATTAATAACCAGAATCCTGGATCTTTGTTTCAATAGGTGGGATGAAACCACATTCACATCATGGGCTAAATGCAAAAGAATGGAGGGTAAAAGTGAGATACAACTAAATCCTTGTCATGACGGATTTGCTTCGCATATAAAATCCGTTGTGACAAGATTAGTAATGTAATATAAATAGCAATCTTGCCACAACGAATTTCAAATAAAATTTTCTTATGTGTCCCGTTCATCCGTTATGACAAGGTTTGACTGCATTGAAGATAATGAAAATGAAGGAAAGTTATTTTATCGTAGAAAGAAAAATATAAATTGTGTCACAAATTTATTCTAACATTAGATTAATTTTAATTGTGATTTTATAAATAAATTTCAATCTTCTTATGTATATGAAAATTCTAAATAAAACAATTATTACACATATTTGACAATAACTTGTAATGAAAATGGTAAGGTCACATCGGTGACTGTTATTTCGTCTCCTTCATTTATAAATTCTGTTAATTTTTTCTGTAGATTTTCTCGAGTTTGAATTTCGAAATTTGGTGGAGCTTGCCAATAAATTTTCTTAAATCCATTTGTCATTGATAAACTTGGTTTCCTCAGTTGACTAAATAATATTTTGATAATGGTTAAACATGTGCTATATTTTTTTTAAAAAATTATTTCTTGTTTAAATCATAAATTAATTTTACTACTTACATTTCAGGATCTTCTTGTAAATATCCAATAAAATCTTCAACCAAATAATCTCTATTAACTTCTAAAGTAACACTTTGATTACCACAAACTGGACAATTTGGTTTTTTTTGGTGTTCAAACGTGTAGGTATATACACCCTCGTTACCAGTATACATCATGTAGTTATTAAGATAGGGTTGTGACGTTGTGACAAGTTTGAATGCTTCATTACAACATGCAGCTGGATCATATGAATATGCTAATATATTAATAAAGGTGACGATGATGATTATTTATTGTATAAATAAAAGGTTCGTTACCTGCAATGACAGCATTTGTAGATGCAATTGCTGGAATAATATTTTTCACTACACCTTGAGTAAGAGAATAAGTAACACCTTTAATGTTGAATTCTTTTGCTCGATTAAGTGATGTCTCATATATCCATTGAATATGTGATGGGTCATCTGTATCCAATTTTACACCTAAAACCAAATAATGATAATTAATATTAGAATATTTATTTTTAATTAATAAAAAAATCAATCCAAAAAAAATTTAAAATATAGACGAATCAATTTTTATAAATACCTTCACGCAATTTAGGCCATTGTAAAACAAATGCCCATTCAATACAATGTTCAGGTAATCTTGGTGTATTAGCAATTGTACAAATTGGAAATGTCGTTGGTTTGTTCAACATGTCAAGTGAGCACTCATAACATGAAGTAACTGTAGGAATGATCACACGTGCTTGGCCTTTGAAACCTTTTATTAAAAAGAGAAAATAAATAAAAATAAATAAATTTGACAAAATTATTTTTTGCAAAATTTTTGTATTTTTTTTCTTTACCTTCAGTACCACCATCAACCAAAGGTCTAACATCCTCTGGATCATCTTGTGCTGCTTGTAATAAGGTAGCATTTATCCACCTACGTGCCTCCACAGAATCCAGACCGCAAATAATAATCTGGAACTTAAGATAATACGCCGTGTCTTTATCTTGTATTTTACCATAATAGCTTTTATATTATAAATGTTAAATCTTGATCAATTCATCATTTTCATATTGAATCATAAAGAAATATCCTATTATTTTAAATATTTTAATATGCCTACTAGGAAACTTTTACACCTGCTACTCTTTTCATTATAAATTCAGCTGCAACCTTTGCTTTAGGACTTCCAACATCAGCAGGCCTGTTTAATCAAAAAAATTCCTTGTTAATATATATTATTGTAATTCCAGAAATAGAATTATTTAATATATAATACCTGAATAAAAATTGTCTATTTAAATTTGACACATCAATGGTGTCCATATCAATGACTTCAATATCCTTGAAACCAGTGAGTGCCAAATTTTTCAATATCTCACAACCAAGACCACCAGCTCCAATAACAAGTACTTTACAATTTTTGAGAAAAATCTCCTATATACATATATACGTGTATATGTGTGTATGTGTAGTTTGAAAATAATTTAAGAACAACAGAAAGAACTAATAATCAATAAAATTTACGTTATATTTACATCACTATGACCAGTCGTAAAACTAGGATCTGTGAAAGGTCCACGTCGATCTAAAATTTTGTTAATGTGAGACCACCGATCTGGCCAATCTTTTTTAGAAGAATCAACATTCTTTTGGGGTGTAGAAACATCAGTTTGCATTTGAGTAGTTGCCATTTTTTTTTCAATTGTAAAAGTTTTAATGTGTGTTACAGGGATTCATGCAGTGATAGTACTAGGGTACAAATTTTGGGGTGACAAATATTTACCATTGGGAGGGTGGCCCAAATGACCATCCCAATGAATATATTAATATATATATATATGCGCATCGGTCTCCCACCAGCACCACGAACATATTTTGATTATTTCTGGTGACAAAAGTTTGCCGATTGTTATATGGAGGCACTTGAACAATTTCGTGAGATTGCACTCGAATCACTGACATCAAATAAAGAAATTTTCCCACAACACCCATATTCCGTTAAATGTTGATATAAATGGTTATATGCGCAGCTTTAGTGTTGGAAAAAAAATTACATGTGATATTTATGGACGAATATGAGGAGACCCTAATTATTTTCGTCGGTATTGAAAACAATTGTGATTCATCGATGTACTTTGGTGGTAGTGGTAAATTGTACAAAGCTGAATATATGGATTGGGTTCTGCTGGTAGTTGTGTATAATTATAAAGGTACAGGCAGGAAAAGCTCTAAAGTGTTTCAATGATTGCGTACACTTTTATACTTTATTTACTGCTCGATATGAAAACATGCTTTGGAAACTTGCACATTTGCTTTTAATCAAATAAATTGCAGAATTGGGTCACAATCCGTGATTATTAGAATATTTTTCGAACCTTGCCATTCTTTTGTGCTTTTGTCATTTGATAGAATAGTATGTATATTTTTAATTATGTAATTTTATTGTATTGTAATGGATGGTATCGGGCCTTCGTATGGGCATCATTGCTAGAAAAACAAGTTGGTTCTAGATCATACTTGGGATCAGAAACCACCATAAAATCGGTGAATAATAATACATCATTATTTGCTTTTTTACCGCTTCCTAGTGAATTATTTACATATTATTTATCATTTTCTACTTTATTTGACCGATTTCCATGTCCAACTCAATTTTCTTCTTGGTAACGCTTATATAAGAACAAGTATCAATTGATGTTAAGAGTGTTATCCACGGCTTTGCAAATCGTAAATCCCATCTTTTTATGCCAAAAAATGAATATCACATATTAATATAGTTAAGCAATCTCTCAATATAGGGCATCACTATAGATTGTTAAATATGTCAGGTATCAGCATTCCTATCATTTACCATCACCACCATTGTCGTGTAACTGCTTAAAAAATCATTCAGTATTGATTTAGTTATATAAGAAGATATTTGTGTTGTATAATGATCCCACTAGCAAAAAAACGAGATTTTGTTCTAATTGAAATGTTATTTTAAAAGGTAAAAAAAGACTTTATTTTCCCATACGAGAACAAGAATATCTCCACGCTTTCGTGTCTATTTTTTTTTTTGGGAAGTCATGTTTGATCGCGTACGTTGAAAATAAATTAACATACATTAAATAAAAACGTTATCTTCTTTTTCTTGGGATTGCCTTTTTTCAGTTTCATTGTTTTGTTTAGTAAGATTAATGGAAGATTTTATTTTTTTTAGTGAATGAAAAGAAAAACAAAGACTTGTTGATCTATAAAATCAATTTTTTCGATTATCTATCAAATTTAATAAATACATGACAACCTTTCTTGCACTAAAGGGACTTAATGTTGATGACACGATCAAGCAATGTAGTTAGGATTGGACGTGAATTTTATTATTCTTGCAGATTTTGAACAAGGAGCGTTTGGTAAAAGGAAAAATACTATTGGTTTTTCAAGACTAGCACATCCATTTAATTTACTGCATAATGGTTATGATTCGAATGACAAAGATAAATCAATGGGATATAACATCTGAGAATATTAGTAATTTGTATGATCCTCTCCTTGGATATCATTTCACTCAACATCAATTGCCACTACAATCACGATGTAGAGGGATATGAATTACAGACTGCTAAACAATATCTTGAATGAAGTAAAGTAAAATCACATATTGAATTTGCCAATTGTTCGTTAGTAAAAATTGAGAATTGTCCTAAATCATCATCATCGTATTCTAATGACTGAAGCCTCTTTTTGAATTGGGTTAAAAGGCATAAAATTAAATGTGCAAATATATTGTTTGGTCAGATTAGGTGAAATCTTTTATGAGCCATTGACGCGATTTATGATTGGACAAGATATATATTCCCAAGAATTAGAAAATAATTTAAATGAAATTATAGTTTCAACGAAAGAAAAGAAAATTAAACGTTTTAGAAGAAAATATCAAAATCATGCAAACATAATAACAACAGTAATTCACAACAAATACCATCCACTGGTAGAATATTAAAAAGTGATGATATAATTTATTAAGTAGTCTTGATGTCGACTCTGGTATCTGAAATATAGTGAATTAAATAGTTGATTGATTTGATTAATTACTAATAATGTTATGTTTCATTTATTTCAAAATAATTAAATAATTAAATATCTTTTTTTTTTATTTAATATTTTTTGACTCTTACAACACTTCTTCTATCACTATCGTTATTCCTATTTCTACTATCATCATAACTTTTTCTTCGATTTCTACTATTGCCGCTTCCACTCCTTCTCCTCCTCCTCTTAACACCTCTGCTGTCGTATCTATTGTTATTCCTTCTTCTCCTGCCTCTATTACTACTATTACTACTACTACTACTACTTCTAATTCTACTACTACTACTACTATTAATACTACTACTCCTACTTCTACTACTACTTCTTCTTCTACTAATGCTACTGCTTCTTCTACTAATGCTACTACTTCTTCTACTAATGCTACTTCTTCTACTACTAATGCTACTTCTTCTACTAATGCTACTTCTCCTACTAATGCTACTTCTACTAATGCTACTTCTTCTACTACTACTACTTCTACTACTACTACTACTTTCACTTCTGCTCCTCCTTCTACTCCTTCTACTTTTACCACTTCTTTTATTACTTCTAATCCTATTACCTCTACCTCTACTTCTACTTCTTCTATCACTTCTACTTATAATATCACTCTTACTCACACTATCGTTCCTATTCCTATTGCTGCTTCTCCTATTTTCCTTTCTTCTTCTATCCCTACTCCTACTCCTACTCCTACTATAACTTCTACTTCTACTCCTACTATAGCTTCTACTCCTACTCCTACTATAACTTCTACTTCTACTATAACTTCTACTTCTACTCCTACTATAACTTCTACTCCTACTATAACTACTACTCCTACTATAATTTCTACCATTTCTACCATTCTTTTTATCATCTTCAGAACTTCTTTTTCTTTTATGATAACTCTTATCATCGTCGCTCCATGAAGGAATACGAATAGTTCTTCTAAGTGCAGCAGCTGCCTTTTCTTCTGTTCTTTTAATAACTGCTTTATTATGATTATTAACGTTTCTCACAATGTTAAACAAAAACCTTTTATTGGTTTTCGGTAGAGGACATGGAGGTCTATTAATAATAATAATAATAATAATAATAATAATAATAATAATTAAATATATTTTGATTAATAAATAAAATAATAATATAAAAAAAAAATGGTTATAAAAAACTTACAATCCAGTATTTGGTAATAAAGCTCTGACGCCTTCTTCCTTATATAATTTATTTTTATTTGCTGCTTCTTTTAACAATAAATCCGCTACATACTTGTCTAAATCTTCTCCTTCAAGCGAGCTTGGAATGTCGCCACCGACAGAAGCTCTTACCAACTGATTTACTGCTACGTCAAGTGCTGATTTTGGATTTGGATTTTCACCTTCATTTTTTTTGGTGGTAGAGGTGGTGGCTTGTTGTTGTGACATTTTTAAAATAAATAATTAAAAAAGTTGTTTGACTTTCCACACACACATTACACAATAAATATTAACAGGTCCCCCTTGTTTGAGAGTATATTTAACATAAAAAAGCAAAAAGTTACAACAGATATTATGCTTTATAATGACAAAATGAGCATTAGATATAATAATAATAACGTGTTACATACACACATTTGGGGTTTAACAAACACAAATTGTCAAAAAAACCTGAATCATTTTACCTGTTTACTAATTGTTGAAGTCATTTTTGGGTTCAAACATTATAATATTGCAATCCATCCTTTATGTGGAAAAAAAAAAAGGTTAATTTGGCCTCCCGTCCCTGAAGGATATAACGTAACAGAAAGATTAGGGTGGCATGGAGGCTGTGAATTACATTTTTAGGTTTTGTCCCCAAAAGGTAGAAGGCTTGTTTATTAAAAAAAATCGAGAACTAATGCAAGTTTCAAGGTTTTATATAAATTTTTTGATTTTTTAACAGTTATTAGATATCATCCTAATGTTCTAACTTCATATAATTATATCATGACTACAACATGATTTTTAACTCAAATTAATGGAAAGTAATGAATTTTAAAAATGTGTCTTTGGTTGTTGGTTGTTTTGCAAGGTATGAATTAAAACAATTTCAATGATGATTTTGAGAATCGATAATTTTATTCAGAATAATCCTGGGCATATATATTCACAATTATTTATACCATGGTATACAATGCTAATTATGGAAGAAGGGAAAGGTTAAACTGATGAGGGTATTTAGTTATATTTTATTAATTGTTACAATAATTTATACCATTACTTAAACAAGGACGTTTACAAAGAAAGGATTAATTATTAAATAACAAAAAAAAAGAAATTGAGTTTTATTTTTATACAACTAATATATAGAAAGATACATAGCAATATTACATTTATATAAAACTGTAAAGTAAAAAACCACCAGAGCAATTTCGCGAGCCCATTTATGAGTATAATCTATTTATACTGTTTGTTTATCATCACTATCAATCACTATCAATGATATTCTTTGTCTTCTTATCCTATTTCACCTCTTAATTCTTTTCCCTATTAACCCGTTTCCGAATTACTTTTATTGGTTATTTTTCGTTGGTGGAATTTTTTATAATGGAGGCAACAATACCCATTTCATTGAACAAAAAATTTGAATCCTGCTCACACAAGTCTTCGCATAAACCCTAAACATTATTGTTATCATTATTATCATTTTAAGCAACATTATTCATGCACATTGTTATAATTATATATATATATTTTATTAAATAATAACAAAAATAATAAAAATATAAAAATTAATATTTATTGTAAAACTAGTGATGGATGATGTATTTAATCAAAAAAATTTTTTTAACTATTAATCAATTAAAAAACAAAATGTCATTAAATTGATCAAATTAAAAAAATTAATTCTTAATTAACTTGCTACCAAAAAATGAAAAAGAATTACAACTATGTGGAGGATGTAGCAGTTATGGTGGTTTAAGCCTTATCAGCAGTAGTAGTAGTAGTAGCGGTAGTAGCGGTAGTAGCTGAATCTGTAGTATTTATAGTAGCTGTACTATCTGTAGCAATTGCAGTGACTGTACTATCTGAAGTAGTTGCAGTGGTTGTACTATCTGTAGTAGTTCCAGTGGCTGTTGTGGTTGTAGTGGTTGTGGTGGCTGTAGTGGCTGTAGTGGCTGTAGTGGTTGTAATGGTTTCAGTAGCTGTAGCAGCTGGTGTTGTTGATGACACTTCTGTTTCTTTATCATTTTCATCTTTCTTTTCACTTGTAGCTTCAAAATTTTCGACTAATTCTGGAATGTCATCATCATCTGCTGAACCAGTAGCGCCACCACTACCACTGCCACCGACAATATCACCTTGTGCACCTTGAGATGATAAATTGAGATGATAAGATTCTGCCAATTTACGAAGCGATGCAAGGGAGTCCGGTCCTAGTTGATTCAAAATTCCTGGTACCAATTCTGTAAGATCCTTTTCTTCACCATGACCATTAATTACAAATGTATTTGAATGAACTGATGCTTGAACTAATAATTATTTGTTTATTTTTAATTAATTTAGTGTTTTATAATGATGATAATGATGATAATTATAAATGATGATAAATGATGAATATTAAATAATAAATGATGATCATGATATTGATAACAATATAACTATAATAATATTAACTTTCATTACCTTTTGGATTAGTAAAATGGATAACGGATCCATCTTCTTTAAACATATTTACTTCTTCGATTGTTGGAATTGCTTGAACGTTAAGTTTCTTAAGTGTAGACTGTAGTTTTTTATCATCATTATTAACAGTTTTATATACCTTTTTAACCTTACGTCTTGGTGTTCCTTTACCACCTATCAATAAACTAATAATAATTGATTATTTTGTTCAGAAAGTTTTTTTCCATCTTGAAAATATAAAATAAATTTTTTTACCAATCCGAACTTGTGCTTGAAGCTTGGCAAGTTTTTCAGGATTCATATCTATCTATATGCTAATAATAATAATAATAATAATAATAACAATGTTGTTTTTTTACCTCACCAAACTTTTAATATTTTATTTTATATATACAACTTTGTACATATATAGATAAAAATATATACAGATATTTTTAAAAAAAAAAAGATAATTAAAAAATTCTAAAGTATTAGATTGAGATAGGTGATTGGTTAAAATTTTAAAAAGAATCAATTTCCAGATTTTTTTTTTTCCAAAAAAAAACAAATCATAATTTAATTTTTTTTAATATATATTTACAACATGGTAATTTATTATTAATGCATTTGTTAATTAAAGGAAATCAAATTCATATTAATTTTGATTTGATTATTATTACGTTATCTAGCCTACAAGACTTAAAAAGAATAGAAAAAAGCGTGGTCATGTTTCTGCAGGGCATGGTCGAATTGGTAAATGAACAAAATCAAAAAATTGGGCTTTTTTTCTCTCCCTATAATATATATATATATATATGCTCATCAATACTTCCTTAACAAAAAAAAATAATTACATGAAGGTAAACATCGTAAACATCCGGGTGGTAGAGGTTTAGCAGGTGGTCTACATCATCATCGTACCAACATGGATAAATATCATCCTGGTTATTATGGCAAAGTCGGTATGAGACATTTTCATATGACTCGTAATCAATACTATTGTCCAACTGTCAATTTGGATAAATTATGGACTTTGGTGTCAGAACAAACAAGAAAAATTTACGCTACTAAAAAGGATAGTAAGCTTGTACCTGTGATTGATACTCTGAGAGCAGTAAGTTTATTTGTGTATATTTGTTGTGCACGTATATTTAATTATGCTAACATTAATTAACAAATAGGGATACGGTAAAGTTTTAGGTAAAGGTCGTTTACCTGATCAACCAGTTATTATTAAAGCACGTTATGTTTCTAGACGCGCAGAAGAAAAAATAAAAAAAGTTGGCGGTATTGTTCAATTAATTACATAATAAAAAAAAACAATGATTTTTCAATATATATATATATATATATATATAAGTTGTTTAAAATAAAATTTTTGCTATATCAAAATTAACATGTTTATTTCTTATACAAAACTATGTAAAATGTTATTGACGACTTTTTATATTAGTTTGCCTAAATGATCTTTGTGATTTGTATCTTGCTTACTTCACCAATAAGATAATCTGGCATTGTTATAATGGAAAACGTAATCTACAGTTCAACAAAGGATATATTATGCCCACATAACTTCTTTCTTTGAAAGATTTCTTCCAATAGATTTAATTATTTTTATTTAACTAGAAAAACAATTGTAAACATGTTGTACAGCAATATATGTATTAAGATGAAGTTGTCAATGGTAAAAAGGCAGACGAGGAAGCTGCATAACCTTTAAATCGTCGACCTTTCTTTTTTACATATAACAACCTAATGAAACTAAAAATAGTGTACGTACATCTGATTTGAAGCTGGTCAAAAAAATTTAGCAAAAATTGGTATAGTATTCAACAAGGTTGGCAATTGGCCGGTCCATTGACCAATCTGCTGGATCTATTGAAACATCATATTAACCATATTTAATATTTTATTAATTTCATAGACCAGACCAAAATACATCAGCTTCGATGGACCTGATCCATTACCAACTTTGGTATTCAGCATATATGAATGTTTATTCGTTTGGTTGATTTTCAGTGAGCTTACTACCTATTTCTTACCGAGTAGCGCCAAAACTTGATAGCTGAATCTTGGCTGATATTTTTTTTGATCAATTACATTGTTTAGATACGTTATCGCATATGACAGAATTCCACTTCAATGTGGGTTAATGTAGTCGAAAGTTTCCAACTGTTCAATTCAGAAGAATCTGATGATTGCAAATATAACAATTTCCAAACTCTAACTTCAACTATACATTCTACTGCTATCAGCAGTAATATAACAATGGTATAATATGGTTAGTTATAACATCAATACTCTAATTAATCCAGTTATTTGCCATTCTCTCTTAAGAAAAAACCCAAATCATTCTTCAATACCATTCAACAATATCTTATGTTCAAATTCGTTGTACACACAACGTTATAGTGAATGCTTAGATCAATTTAGATTTATACATCAATTCCAAACTTAACCTGTAATGTTTGAGTAATGTGTCGCATCACAATAATCCATGTATATAGTAACCTTAATTAGAAACCTTGACCACCAAAGACAACAAATTCACCGGAAAGACAACGTCTGTTTCTTCAAATACTAGAGAATATTTTTCTCCTAGATTTATTACATTTTTTTTGCTTTCAGCGAATCTATAAAACACAAAGCCATAAAATCGGTTATTAATTTTCCTACAGTTAAAGCCAAAAATATAATTGTCGATTTCAAAAATTATGTTTCGTGCATGTTGTAAATTATCATCAAGCAATAAAAAATATTGTCCTCTCCTATTACCATTTTGTCGATAAATCGTAAATATGCTGTTAGTGCTGCAGTTTCTCCAATTACAGTTACAAAGTCAAAAACTGGACTGTTTCAATTAAAGGTGAGGAAGAAAAAGATGTATGTATACTTGATAATTTTTGTTTTCTATACGCGCATTACAATCTTAAACTATATGATTTTAATTAATATGTATTCTCAATAAAGATAGTACGCCAGCCTTTTCTGTTTCCTTAGTTGTGAAGTCTGGTACATGAAACTATTAACGAAATTGGAGTGGCACATTATTTAAAAAATTTTGCTTTTACATAATTGAAAAATAGACAATACGAATATAAATACATATGATTTTGGATGATAGAACACCACAAATAAAACTGATTTTCGTATAATACGTGAAACAGAATTACTTTTTGGTGTATTAACTAACAGCCAATTTAACAAGAGAAAATTTAATCCTTCAGAATTTTTGCCAGATAATCTGTATGTATTTTTTATGCATCACTGAATGATAATAAAGCAACAACACTAGTTAGTCATATAAATATGACAATTACTATATAGTTTGTTTCAATAATCAATTCATGTGAAATAAAAATTTAATAAATAAAAAAAAAATTTTTAAAAAACATAATTTTAATAATTTTAATGTAGACATCGTTCACCCTAGGGCCCAAAAAAAATATAAATTTTAAAGAGCACCGCCCACCCAGGGTTTCTAAATGCTCTGAACAAAGAAAATAAAATAAGCGTGGAGACTAGCATGACCAGTACCACATTATTCTAAGTTATTGTTTAGCCGTCATTGAAAATGTCGTCTTTTTCCTTGGTTCGTTGCAGTCTTCGGATATTAAAACGGATCCAGATACTTAATAATAGTAATAATAGTATTAGTGCGAATAATAATAATATAATAGTAGTAGTAACGGCAATAATAACAATAGCAGCAGCAGCAGCAGCAGTAGAACAACAAATAATAACCTCAGCAACAAAAACATTGTCTTCACGCAAGTGTTTTTTCTGCGAATATTCCAGCCACTACCATTTAGGTCAGGTCCAAGGTATTTAAATCACTAATACTGAGCAAAACAACTTTGCCGAATTTTGTCGATCTTATTTCATAAAATCTAATTTTGATTGGTTCGACTATTATTAAAATAAAAAAATATCCTCGCCTTTTGATTCAGAGTGTCAATAAAGATGGTGAATGTCAGCTACAGACAATAATAATAGTGATAGAACCATTGTTGACACTTAAACACCACCAATGAAATTTTCTTTTTGTACGTGTTGTTCGTTTATTTTAATAATAATTTTTTACTAATTACTTGAGTGACATAATGCTCTTTCACTTTTTCTCAAATATATCTCGAAATCGTTATATCTCATAACAAGCCAAAATGTGACGATCTTCACGTGTTAGATCAAAATTTAAACAAATTTGGATATTCAATAAGGCCAGTAGAACAACGAACAAATGACTCAAGAATTGTAAAATTTTAACAAGATCTTATTACAATGATATAAAGACTATGTTACAAGGCTCAAAAAATCAAACAACTGCTATTCAGAAAATCGGAGATAATCAAATTGTTATATAAAAAAAAATGGTGGTGATAAGTTAAAGTCATTATTAGTAAAGAGAAGCTTTACCAGGTATTTGTAAGTCCCGCTTACAAAATACAGAGTCAAAACCAAACTTAGAATAATATTAAAAAAAATGGAGTGGAGTTAAACAAGACCTAATTGAATTATTGGCCAAAAGGTGCCTTGCTTGTTCCAGCAGAAATACTGTTAGACAATTAATGGTTGCTGGAAACCATAATTGCAAAATTTTTTATGTCATGCTTGCAAGTAATCAAATTTTTTCTTTGATTCATTTTATTAAGATAAAATTGATAAAATAATTATAAAAATTGATAGGCGAACCTTGTGGATATGTCTCCTGATGGGGAATATAAATATATTCTTCATGCTCGCAACCACTTTACTAGATATTCATGGGGATATCCCTTGAAATCTAAATCTTTAATTGAGGTTGCAGCAAATTTATTTGACTTGTTTACAGCTTTTGGAGCTCAAACGATATTACAATCAGATAATGGAAAGGAGTTCAATTCTCAAGTAACAAAAGAGTTGATGGGATATGGCCAGGCACAAAAATTATTAATGGCAGGCCATGTCATCCATGGCCCCAGGAGCTTGTAGAGTGTGGAATAAGGATTTAAAAAACAAATTATTGAAGATGATTGGTGTTTTGTACTAAAAATTATAATCTATAATATGAATACTTCTATTTCTATAATACCCCAGATTGTTTGGTTTTTGGTATTGAACCAAGAAGTAATGATACAGTATTGGAATTATTATTTGCAGACTGTTACATTAATGAAGAGGACATACCAAGCAATATAACAATTGAAGGTGAAACATTCAATAATTTTATCAACAAAACTCAATTTACACATTATTTAATAACCTAATTTTGAAAAATAACTTGTATTGTTAGATCAAATTAATAATGAAGCTAATAATGATAATAACAATAATTATGATGATGGTAAACAATACTTCAAAAAATTTTTATTTATTTATTATAAAGGTTCTAAAAATGTATTCGAATTTTTAGATATAATTATTGCAAGTACTAGTGGTGGTGTTATTTATAATAATAATGATGCTGTTAATGTTGACATTAATGATGAAGCTAGTGGTAAGTAATATTTCAAACGTTTATTTATTTATTTATTGGTAATGATAGTAATAATAATCATGATTATGATGATGAAGCTAGTAGTGAGCAATATTTCAAACATTTATTTATTGTAAATGCAATCGATTTTTAGATGGAACTATTTTGAGTACTAGCAGTGGTGTTAGTAATAATAATGATGGTGGTGATGGTATGTAATCTTTTTAAGAATTTATTTATTATAAAGGTTCCAAAAATGTGTTTGAATTTTTAGATGAAATTATTGCAAGTGCTAGTGATGGTGTTAGTAACAATAATAACAATGATGGTGATGGCAAGTAATCTTTTTAAGAATTTATTTATTTATTTACTTATTTATTCGTTATAATAAGTCTAACAATAGCATTCAAATTTTAGATGAAAATATTGTTGCAAGTACTGATGTTGTTGTTAACAGTAGCAGTAGTAATAATAGTGAAGATGGGGAGTATTTGTATATTGGTAATTACTTTTTGAAGCCCTTTATAATATTGATTACTGATTTTCAATTGATGGTCTAACATTTAATTATGGCTGTTCATCATCATTATTTTCATTACATTATTAAAAATCACTATGTACCACAAAGAGAGAATACAGATATCTAATTTGTATGCAGTTCAACATTCTCATTCTCAATTGTATTGATAATATTGATATATAAATTTCTTGTATATAAATTTATTTTACATTCAAGGAAGACAAATCTATTCTATATTCTTGAGGCAATGCCTTTTTGTTTACATACTGATTGGCAACTGAATATTTTTAGCTTGAATTGCATAATCCAATCTTATCCATGCTTGATTTTACTGGAGATATAGTTGCAATAATGCATACCAAGCAAATCTTGTAATAATCCTGTCAGTTACTTTCTCTTAATAATAAAATAATAATAATAAAAAAATAAAAATAATGGAAACATTAATGTACTGTTGTATGTGAAATTCAAATTAGCCAGTCAGAATTTTGTATCCAAAACACCCACCCCAAAATTTAATTGTTAAATTTCAAATTCACCACAAACATGATTTTCACACACTAGATGTAATAAAAAGTTGATCCAAGACCACAGATCTCAGCAATAGCATTGCATTAGTGTAATAATATCCTAGTAATGGTTGTGCGTGATGCAAATTTTATGCAAATCTGATGGAAATTCAATGACTGTGACCTTGCCGTTAGACCATTCCCAATAGTTATGAATATTAAACATGTCTCCATGACATTTGTATTCCTTGTTACACACCCTCGACAAGCGTGTATGGAAATCTTGATACAATAAACAAAAATGAGCTTGTTATTTTCAATAAATAAAGGATGAGCATCACTTACATAGCATTATCACAGTCTGCCTTTTGTATGAAGGATTCCTTGATCTCACCCATAACCTTTGAAATTTTCTTAGTTCATCTATCAGGCAAAGGTAGATTTTGGAGCAAGTGCATCATCAAAAATTTTTTAGCTCATCTTGAGCAAAGATTCAAAGGCATTCCATTAGCTCTAGTACTAATAGTCTAATCAAGAGGGGGGCTTTTCAATAAAATGGACCACGTTGTGAAAATTGATTTTTTGAGAAAATTAAAGAAAAATATCCACATTTTAAAGGTTTGCTATTGTTTTTGAAACTTTAAAGAAAAATATTTCGATATTTTACTATGCAAAGTGGGTGTAATTTTCAAGCCAAAAATGTTCTACATATAGCAATGGTATAACTCAAAATTGCTTTTTTCACAACATGTCTGTTTCTATTGAAAAGCCCCAAAGTTTTTCAAACAAACCCTTGTAAGGGGTATTGATCAATTGTAACTTTATAGAAAGGTTCTAATATATGGATATGGATATCATAATAAATGTTTCAAGAAATGGTGATTTAAATGTCATCCATCATTGTTTAGAATATCTCATAGATGGAGTTGATTTATTATCATCCTCTTACAATAATAGATTGAAAAGTCAGATTATAAAGACTGATTAATGGAATTAGAAAGTCTTGATGAATTAAATTCATCACAAAATGATGATTATGATTTTGAGGAGTTCAATTCTAACCTAGCCACCAAATAACCTTAATACAAGTATCAGAATTGCTTTAATTAAATTACAATAAGATGAAAATTTATTATTATTTTTATTGATTTTTAACATTGATTTTTTAAATGCCTTAGAACCTGTTCCAGAACCTTTAATAGTAGTAAACCAATTTTAATTTTAGGGTAATATTATATACAGAAAGGTTCTTTTTATGAAACATGTGACAAATAAGAATTAATTTTTAGAGTTGGATAGTAAGTTTCCATTCTAGAGTGATTATTATTCATTAATTATAATTATTATTAAGATCAATTGATTGATTAATTAGCATGGTCAAAGTTTATAGAATGGAATTATCATCAACCAGCTCTTGCTGACAAAGCTTCAATTCAAAATTCATAATGTCTTATATAAAAACTTTGAAATATATTTTAATATTCTTCTTATTACAAGTTACTAGAAATATTCCTAACTACTTTGATTAATTCAATTAAATTATTTCAACGTTGATGAGACCATACACTATTAAAGAATTAAAAATAAAATTTAAAAATTTTTTTTCAAAAATTTAAATGACTTTTAATTAATGAAAGTGAAAATTTACCTTTTAAGAACTAAATAATAATAATAATAATAATAATAAAATTTAACAAATAATTATAATATTAATAACAATCTATAAAAATAAAATACCACTTACATCCATCTTCTGTAGCCAAACGATTTAATGAATCATCAGATTCACCAGATTGACGAACAAATCCACACAATGCATATGTTTTCCATTCATTTTTGTATTGACCATTTTCATCGACCTCTCCAACATTTATTTGAACAGATGCATGATCCTTGGCAGTAATTATACGATTTGTTGCAGAACTGCATTTATTTACAGATAATAAGTAATGTGAAATCGTATAATCATATAATAAAAACTTTATAATAAAGCAATAATGACTATTATCATTAAAAGTCATTTACTGACCATTTACGAGGGTGATAAAGTTCAATTTGAGAAGAGTTTTGCATTTTTAATTTTATTATAATTTAAAAAAATTGTGAAGAAAAATTTTTGATTATGTTGTACGACATCTGACATATCAATTGAAATAAGCCAATGAAAATTTTCATCAGATCTTTGACCGTTCAAGCACCATTTACCGAAAGTTGCCACATATGCATGGGGCAAGATATTTTTAATATGGAGAGATGCGCGTAACGAGACCCGAACGCCCTTCAACTAAATTTTACAAAATATAAGAACATCTCAACTTCCATGTTGAATGAGGCGGCTTGTTTTTACTTTCAAGTTTAGATTCGTCCCCATTGACGAATTCAGAATCATCAATAGATTCTCTCTTTTATTAAAGTGGAATCAAAGAATGTCTGTCCACTAAGCACCTTCCAAATTATATTTGAAAATTCTCCGTGGGTAACCTGTAGGAAGGAGTTGCGGATATATTTGCAAGCAACACAAATTTAGTTTTCAAGAATTGAATAAATATTAGCGATTTCGACGTAACTATTCAAAATTTAAAGCATAATTATTTCTTGTTAAGAACCAAAGGAAATTATTGACTACATATAAATCTCGATTGCATGTGTTTTCTTGTAAATCAAGCCTCCACTCAGTCCCGACTTCTTTTATAAGTCATGAAAGATAAGCCTACAACGTCAATTCCTTTTTTTCCATGAATATTATTTAATTTAGCTTGAGGATGACGAGGATTAAATTACCAATTTGTAATGTTATATATATGTTTAAGAATTCTCAAATGAGTTGCTGAATCATTTTTTTATTCTATCACCCTTCTTTGGTACATAATAAGGTGGAACTTAATAATTAATATTGGTGGTGTTGACAGTGATAGAATCAAATCATATTGATTGCTCTATTATTAATACCTATTCTACGTTGTAATGATCCTCTTACTCAATGATGTCCCCAGGGCTGGACAATAAAGGAAAGAGTGTTAGAAAAAATGATAGATTAATTAGCAATGAATTAAAATCAAGGTTTTTGAAAAGATGGTCATTTGATGATTTAACTAATTTGAAAAGGAAATATTGAATTTTCAATCACACAACGAACGAACTATGTCAACATTTTCTTTTAATTAATTGTTGCACAACACGTCAAAACAGTTTTTTAATTGATCATGCCAAAAATACAAAAAAGAGGTGTTAATAAGTTAAGTGCAGCAATTAGATCGTCAGATTCTAGTAGCTTGGTCAGGTATCAAAAAACAGCAGAATCAAAATCAACAACAAATAATGACGCATTATTGACTTCAAAATGGTTGGAACGAAAAAAATTAGACGAATTAGGTGAATATATTTTTTATAATGCAATTTAGATTATAATACACATTAATTTTAAAAAAATCGTTTAATCAATCACTATTTGAATATTTATTAAAGGAATTAAATATAAGAAAGGTATATATACTATGGAAGAGGATGAAGTATTACATGCGGCATTAAATAAATATAAAATTGTAGGCTGCTATTATTATATATAGGTTTATTATTACTTGAATTATTATAGAAGAGATGCATATATTTATATTTATATTTATATATTTATGTAGCTAAACAATTTGACTGATAATGAACTTCACAAGTTAATATATGGAACTACACCAGCTGAGCATAAAGGTTTCTGGCGTGAAATTGGTAAATCATATATGTATTATTGTTATATATTTATATTGGTGTAATATATTATCACTAAATATAATACTTGTGGATTAAAAGCAACTCCATTGGGAACAAGGCCACTAAAAAATGTGTGTATACATGTTCAAAGATTATTTCATCACCACAATTATACAGGAAAATGGTCACCAGAAGATGATAGGAAATTAAATCAGTAAGTAATGACAATATTTATTTTTATTTTTATATTTGTTATGTAATTTGGGCTTTATCACAATATTTTTATTTGAAATTTTAGATTAGTAGCAATTCATGGTAAAGATTGGACAACAATTGGATCAGAGTTGGGACGTATGGGCACTCAATGTCGTGACCGATGGAGAGATTATGGTTCTATTAGTAATCTAAATCCCAGAAAAGGTTGGTTGATTATTAAAAATATCTTTAATTAATTTATAAATTAAACGAATTAAAAAAAATGTATATATGATTATTTTGAAAATTTGGAAATTGATAATTTGTTTGATTTGTTTAATAAATGATGGTGATGATAGGTGAATGGACTAAAGAAGAAGAAGATCAATTAAAACTTATTGTTACTGATATTGTAACAAGATATAAAGATGAAATAACATTAGATTATGGAATACCATGGGATATAGTTTCAGAAAGAATGGGGAAAAAACGATCTCCTAAGCAATGTCGTGAAAAATGGTATGCTTGATTGGGTCTTATATAATTGTTTTAAAGCATGTATGGATGATCGATAACAAAGAAAAAAATTTACTTGTTATATATATATAATTCATTTAGGGGAAGAAAGCTACGTCTTATATATGAAATGGAGAAAGGGGGAGAGATATCAAAATGGTGTAGTGAAGATAGTTATATTCTTGTTAATAAGTATGAATATTAATATTCATATGATATTTTCTTTAATTATAATTTTACACTTAAAATTACAATTATTTAAAATTATAAGATTATACCAATCAAAGCAAAAGGAAGAGTATTCTTTTAATTGGGAATCATTGAATGATGATGAATGGGGTCCTTGGTAAGTAAACAAATCTACCAGTTTGTTTTAACACAATAATTTACACATGCTAATTTATTAATTATATAATTAGGACACAAGTATACTTACATGAGAGGTGGCGTCGATTAAAATATACAATTAAAGATTTTTCATCCAAAACCTTTACTGGTATGCAACAATAACAATACCTTTCATGTTATCTTTTGTTTTAAATTAAATAACTATTACTTATTATATTATTACGATGATTGGCACAAAAAAGAAATTGTTTGTGAACTTTATAATAGGTTTCAGAAGTCTCCACCACAACGAAAGTATAAATCACCAGAAATAATTGAAGACTCTGATGATGAATTAGGGATAGTAAATGAATGATTATATTATATGAATATTATATTTTGCTAAAAAAATGATTTTCTTTTTATACAATTCTAGAGAGAAAATCAAAAATTGTTTTTACAATTCACATACAAATATTTATTAAAAAAAATAAGATATTATTACTATTACTATAAGGTATCGTAAAAATGAATAAAATAATGAAATAATAAAATAAGATATACAAAAAAAACTATTAATAAAATTGTTGATGCATCAATAGTATTGTTGTTATTAATATTAGGAGTATTATTATTATTATTATGACTATTGGAGATAGCACTAACAGTACTAGCACTAGTAATAGATCTTGAAGATTCAGGTAGATGACAAATTCTATTATTAGAATGTGGTGGAGGTGGCAAAGTTTGTTGTAAGTTAGTATTTTCAATTCTAGGAGGAGGAGGAGGAGGAGGAGCTAATAATGTTGTTGTTGGTGGTAATGGTGTTATGGTTGGTTGGATTTCTTCTTTCTCTTGTAGTATTATCTTGAAGAATATTAAATGAAGGAAGATTATAACGATTCCTAAGAAAGGTCATTATGAAAGTGTAAAATTGTTTTCCGGAATAATATATCCATTTTAATGCTGTATAGACTATTGTGACAATTATTGATGTAAAGAAAGTGATTGCTGCAATTGGTAAAAGAATCAAGAATCCAGTTCCAATTGTTATAATATTTACTACAAAATATGTAAAAAGCCCTATAATTTATACATATAGATTAGTAAGGAGTATATATATATATATATATTAACATATAAATATATATATATTTATTACATATGATAAGAGTAATTGATAAAGATCCAATTGTCCAAACAATGAATGTGAATAATGGTATAGCAAATAAAGCAGCCCAAATAAAAGTTAAATCTCTCAGTATTTGATATTTATTAGAAACTCGATAAATATAGCTTACAGGTACTTGTAACCAAGTTGGTGTAAAATTCAAGATTTTGGTTTTGTTGAAAACTAAATTTTTTGTTTTAAAGATTGAATTTAAGGCACCTCCTATCAAGCCATTATTATTATTATCATCATCCGCATCATTGAAACCATTGCTACCATCATCACCACCGCCTCTACTATCACCAATTCTTGAACTTCTTGACATTAAAAAATAATTTTTTTTTAAAAAAAAAAACCTTTATAAAAATAAAAATAAAGGGAAACAAAGTATTCTTTTTTTCAGGAAAAAAATTAAAATGATTTTGATCATTTTAATCAAACAATTGTTATTTATTACGATTATTAATCAACGTCATCATTATCAAAACATCTTTGATCCTCGCTTTATTTAAAATTCAGATTGCCTGATTTCTTTTATTCAAAGTTAAGAACATTTGTATATATATTATAAAAAATATGTACCATCATTACCAACCGTCCTAGATAAACATAATAAATTTACTTTGGCCAAGAAAGGTGGTATTTGTGGGATTTTCAGGATAAATATAAATACAAATGTAAATAATAAAGACTACGTCAGGAACTCTAGGAATGGACGATTTTCCACAATCTGTGTAAAAAGAACTTTTTTGGGGTAAAAGAATCATCATTTGGTCTCTTTACTATTACACGAATTCAAATGGTTCTTCTTTCGTACCAAAAGTTATTCAAGGAAAAAAAAGTGAAATTTGCCAACAATGTTAGATAGACAGTTGAAAAAACATTGAATGAATCAGCATTAAAAAAAGCAGATAGTAATAGCATCATGTATGTTTGTGCGAAAGATGTTAATTGAGAAAATATACACACGCGCTTTGTCTGTGTCACATATGCAACAATGTTGATTTCTTGAATTGTCAATATTAAGACAAAAAAGAAAATAGAAACCACGATAATTTCTTTGAATTTGAAAATGAAATGATGAGCTGTTTTGAAAAAAATCAATACACGACGCATATTTTCGCTTCGGCAAGTTACATAAAAAATTTTGATCGTGATGACAATTACAGCGATATTATTGATAAGCTTAAGAAAAAATGTTGTAGAATTAGATGTATGTAAACGTTGGTAATAATGATTAATCAAAAGGGGTGAAGGACAATGAACCTGGACATAATAACAACCATCTTCATTTTATTTTCTTCCTGGACATAATAATCTTCTTCTTCCTGAACATGGTAATGACTATCCGCACAACAACGAGCCTGGGCTAGTACGACCATCATCATCTCTGCCCTAATCCTGAACGCGATAACAACCATTCTCGCAGGCAATTAAAGCAGGAGTTTATCATATATAGGTATTTGATGAATTGGCAAATCCTCTTCTTTTCCCAACAAATTTTTGGTAAAAATTTTGGCTAATTTTTGACCAACTCCTAAATTCACGTTTTAGAGAGAGTCATAATAATGAAAAGTTTTTCCCGGAACATCATAGACAAGGAGCGATCAATGCCCGCTGCTTCCAGAAACGTCCGGACTCGTGCTATTATTTATCAGCAAAAAAAAAACAATGTCTTTGTTCTTCATTCATTTATTACTGAGCCTCACGTGCCTATTTCATATTTGATTAACTCTGCTGGTATTTATAATGATGTAAATTGGAAAATTTTAGTCAAAGTTGAGTTGCGAAAGTTAGATTAAGTAACTAAAGAAAAAAATAGAATGGAATAAATATTGATCTAGACAAAAAAAGTTGCCAAGTATGATCGAAGGCAATAGGGTATGTGCTACAGAAATTAAGTATGATAATAAGGACAACATGCGATCAGGAATAGAGCACTAAAAACAACTTTAAAAAAAAGTTACACGTGTATATACGGCGTGTTAAGAAAAAAATTTAAATCGTTGAGCACCTAAAAACCCAAATCTGAAGATTATGCATATAAAATCCCACGCTCCCGGATTTTTTAGAACTTTATCAATTAAAAAAATAATTTTGAAAAAAATTTGATGTATATACATAATAATACGCTTCAAAATATGTGGTAATTTAAGATCTTTTGGTTCTCTGATATAACTTCTATTATGTGGTTTCTGAAAATTTCTTAAACAATATTAACATACTGTATATTTAATATATTAGGGGTGGACAATAGGGTAAATGTCTATTACTATTGTATAAGTACTGCCCTGTTAATCTTTATTTATAGAAAAGTTTTTTTACAGTGTATATTAAAATAATAATAAATAATCCATAAAATATTTTTAAAAAAAAACTAACTCATTCTCCCCATCAATGTAATTAAAATACAAATCACAAATACCAATAGTTCATTCATAAGAATAAAGTTGGGATCATGAATGAATAATAAATCTACTTGTGATTTGTATTTCTCTTAATTTGATAAATAGAATAAATTAAGCTTTTTTATAATATAAATTATGTTGCTTAAATTTTGATAAAAAATATAGGTTTCTTAATTTCCAAAGAATTTTTTTTTATACGTGTGTATTGATAATATCTTTTAATTGATTATTATTTAAAGGGGTAATGAAAGAAAATGGAAAGTTTGTAAATATCTTTTGATAATTAATAGGAAAGAGGAAGTGGAACGTATATATTTTGTAATCTTAATATTAAAAGATTAATGATAATTTTATCTTCTTAATAATATTATTAAAAAGTATATATATAAATTATTAGTTAATCAATAATAAAAATATGGATTATGAGTAAATTCCAAAAAAATAAATTTAACTTACAAAATTTACATACAAAATATATAATTTATAATTTATAAATATACATACATATATATATATATATATATATAAAATAATAATTAATTAATTTTTCATTATTATTATCACGATCATTCCCTCTCCTTCTGTTATAAGTACGTAATGGAAAATTTTCCGCGCTCAGGATTAGAGCATATAGATCTAGGTTTTTCAGGGGTGTTGATATCGGAACCAGTCACTTGTAATTTGAATTCATTACTATGAAGTCTTACAATGGCGGTTCTATCGGAATTAGTCACAACTTCTTTGTCATTTTTTGTACTTGGATCAGATCCAAATTCATTGATAAATGGATTATCAGAATAATTGGATTCATTACTATAAATTTTCTCAAGAGCGTTGCTGGCAGCAGCTTTTCTGGCATTCTTTGTATTAGAGCCAGTTCCGCGGCCATAAACTTCATTGTTGATAAGCACATGAAACTCGAATTCAGGATTAGGTTTAAAATTAAAGGCACTAGTTTCCTTGTATTCGGGAATTTTACTTCCCCTTCTTTGATAGTAGATTTGTAGTGTGTTAATGGGTTCAGCTATATTGTCATCTACTGAGAGATTCAGATGACTTCTTAGTGCGTCTATAGCAGCTTTTTTTTTCGCTTCTTTCTTATTACCTCCATTCCCCTTACCAATAATTTTATCATTCAGCATAACCTCATAACCAAACGTAGGATTACAAACTGGATATGAGACACCTAGTTCATCTACTGGTTTGTACGATGGTATTCCTAAACCTCTACGTTGAGACCAAGTTTGTAATTTGTTGATAGGGTCCAGATAATCTTTATTAGAAATACTCGAATCGATAGGTCCAATTCCAGTTAATTTTTGGGTTATGTCAGTAATCTCTTCTTGTTCCGTGGTTTCTTTACTTGCTATTTCTTTTATGGCTGGATCCAGGAATTGTCTCAAATATTCTGCTACTTCTTTATAATTTTTACCACAATCCAAAAACACAGCGCCAATATATGCTTCGAACGCATCTTCTATAAATTTTTCTTTGTATCTAGAACCTTCAGCTAAAGCACCAATTCCCAATCTCAACAAATTTGGCAGGCCTATCGAAAATCCAAATTTTGCTAAAGATCTTTTACAAACTAGTTTTGACTTTATAGCAGTTAATTTTCCTTCACTATAATCGGGAAATTTTTCATATAAATAATCAATTACCAAAAAACTAATAACAGAATCACCCAACAATTCTAATCTTTCGTTATATGGACCAGCTGTCAGTAAATTTTCTTGTGCGTATGTTTTATGAGTGATTGCTTCCAATAAATATTTTTCATTAATAAATGTTCTTTGTGGAATATTCAAATATATATCATTTTCTATTGCCATGTTTATATTTCTATTTGAATAAATAAAATAATGAAGGTGAGAATGAAATTATTATTTTATTGTGAGAATTATTGGTTTTTTTTTTATACCTTTTTTAATAGAATATAATGTGTATATAGATAGATAGATAAAAAAAAAACCATAGTTATACTGTAGTTTCCTTCTATATTAACAATTGGGAAACACACAAAAAGTGCCCCTATCACATAATAGTAATTAACATTTACGGATTTACGGTGATTTTTGCATACAGTCAAAATCTACTAAATTTGAAATTAAATAAATACCAACACTTACACTAGATTGTTTGGTATGTATTCATAGTAATGGTAAAATTCGTGTTACGTATAATCTAAACCTGCAATACGACCATGACGACACCTATAACAATTACACCAAAACCTACTACAATACCAATTACGTCCACATCATCAACACCAATAACTGAAACTACTTCAGAATTTAAATCTTCCACTAGAAAATATCATAAAACAGGAAAGTATTCTAAAAAACGTGCTACAACAGAAGAAACTGATTATTCAGCCACATACAACAACAACAACACTGTTACTGCTACTGCTTCTGCTTCTACTACTGCTTCTGTTACTGCTGCTGCTGCTGCTTCTGCTGCTGCTGCTGCTGCTCCTACTCCTACTGCTCCTACTCCTACTACTGGTAATACTATTAGTAACCCTATACAAGAAACACGTTCATATGTACCTACAATATTACCAAAGAATGCTACTATTCCTTCTACCACCACTACATCGACTACAAATGCAAATTTAACTCCAATCTATCCATTAACAACACAGTCTACTACTCAGTACTATCAAAGAAATTTTGCATCTTCTTCCTCTTCTAATTATCTGAATAATTTAATGCCTCATGGCGTAAAAAGAAACTATCAAGATCATTATAATCAATCAACAACAACAACACCTACCAATTCTTTGCAGATGACCAATAATAGTAATAATAGTAATAGTAATAACACATCTTTACCTATTACTAATAGAATAACAACAACGTCATCATCAACACCAACTACTACTATGGCACAACCACCATCTTTAATGTATTCACATCATCATCAACCTAAACAATTTTATCAACAACAACAACAACAACAACAACAACATCAAAGCGGTTCGGCCGTTACAAATCCTCCTTCTTCTCGTGATCCAAGATCATCATATCAAGAATTGGCGAATTCAAAAACTGCCGAAGAAGTTTCTCATCACAATCATCTTGTGCAAAGGTTAGTACATAATATATATTTGTGTGTGTATACGTGCGTATGAAATATACATATAATATTTCTATATTATATTTTTATAATTAATTAGATTCGATTCAGCCATAAAGAAAGATCAAATATCTGTTTTTCAACCTGATTACAGAACACATTTTCGTTCATATCAGGATGCAGTATCAAGACTTTTACCTTATCACATTTTTGATTATCCACAAGAGGATATGAAAGCTAATGATCAAATAAACGACTTAGATGGTGTGTAAATGCGCGTGGATGCATGCATATGTATTTGTATATTTTGCGTTAATTAATTATTTACGTTTTTTATTTTTAATATTAATAATTATTAGCAACAAAGGTTGCAATAAAACATTATAAAAGAAAAAAAGCAATTATGGATAAATTTGATGAACTTATTAAAAAAGAGGCAAAGGTTAATTGATGGTATTTGTTTTGTTTTATTTACATGATAAATATAACTAACATATTTTATTAAATTTATTATTTTTTTTTTTAGTTACCGTATTCAATTCACACAAATCTTTGCGAGAAACTAATTTATGAAAATGAAAAGGCAAAAACTGCAACACTTCGAGAAGAATGTTTTCAACTTGCTGAACTTTTAAAGAAAACTCCAAGATGATAGATAAATTTCTTTATTTTATCAAGAAAATAATAAAAACCTTTACAGAATGCAAATATGGATTATATGTATAGATGATGATGATGATGATGATGATGATAATGAAAACGATGAAAATAAAATGATGAGATGATGAGTAGTATACACGATGTATGTATCTACATAAATGAAATATAACAGATAGCGTAGTCAATAGTATAGTATAATTAATATGTAGTATAGTTTTTACAAAATAAAAAAAAAAAATCATTCGTTCTCAAAATATAAATTGGTCAAAGTCAAAAAAGAAAATATTAATTGATGGATATCTAAATACCTATATCAATACCTATATAACCTTTACAACTTCTCCTGATCCCCCATTGCCACCAAATTCACTATGACGATAATTATTATTATCAACATCAGTTATAATAATCTCAATACCATTAGCATTATTATTATAATTATTATGGTGTTCATAATTGTTATAATAATTACCAATATTTCTCATTTTATCATTATTATTATTTTCAATATTATCAATCAAATTAAATTTTTCGAATAAATTTAAAATACTTGATGAAATAATATCAGCATTTTTTTTTTGATAACCACCGCTTAACACCATAACAATGGGTACATCATGATCAAAAGCCATTCTGAACACCATTTCGTCACGTTTTATTATTCCGTCACTGCTCAAATCCATACAACCCAACGGATCACCTTCTAGGCAATCAGTTCCGGCATTGTAAATGATAAAGTTTGGATGAAATTTGTGGAATGATTGGAATATTTGTGATTGGATTAGTGGGAGGTATTTCAAGTCGGATTTAAGATCTGGGGTCGTTAATGGAATTGGTGTGGTTACTGATGAGAATGCATCGTTATCTTGTGGATAAATTTGTGCGTTGAATGCATCTACTATATGAACTTTATCGTTGTTTGCTAAATCTCTTTCATATCCATTTCCCTACAATAATAACAATAATGTTAATAATGAAATAAAAAATAATATAATTTTTTTTTACAATAATTCAATTATATAAATTTATTTAACAACCTGATGAGCATCTAGATCAATAATCATAATTCTAGAAACCTGATCTGGATGTTTACTTAAAGTTCTTTCAACCATTAAACTTATGTCAGCATAAACACAAAATCCACCACCGCCATCATAATGAGCATGATGAAATCCACCACCCAAGTTAATAGCCCATCCATACTTCAATGCCAACTCGGCTGCCAAAGCACTGCCGCCAGTTTGTAATAACATTGGGTCTAAAACTTTTTTTTTCAATAACTGTTGTGGTAAAACTGCTACAATTGGTAGTTCTAGAATTTTTTGCAAGTGGGCATTACTGTTCAACGATTCCAAGTATCTTGACGAGTGGACATTTTCCAAGTCTTCTTGTGTTGGTGGTAATGGTTCATAGAATGAAGATTGTGTTAGATTTTGATGACTTGACGAAATCAAAATTTTATGAATTCTTTTAAATTTTTGTGTATCAAATGGATGGATCTGTTATGATTTTTGGTTTTGTGAGAAAAAAATATTTTTTAACTAACCAAAATAAAAAATAAAAAAAATCATAAATCATAACCTTTTCCAATGACCAAAATGCAATATTATAACCTGGATGATATACAATTGGAATTTTTGAAGTAGTTGAAGTGGTCATTACAATATATATTTGTTTGTTTAAAATATAAAAAGGGTTTGAATTATGTATATTCTTTATTTGATTTTTTTGCTCAAAATTTTAAAACAAGAATGAAAATCATAATAATAAAAAATAATTTATTTTTTTAATATTTGTTTTCTATTTTCGTTTAATCAGGTGTTATTGTTATTATTATTATATTAAATGAGAAATGTAAATTATTGTATGAAGAAGTGACAACAATTACATCCAAAGATCATATTAACTATTATTAACCAAAACTCTTTGTAGTAAGTGCTCCGCATGGAATATCCGGATCTTCTTATTAATATTATTAATTAAAACACGTGATATACACATTTTTGGGACAAAAATTGCTAAATTTGATTACTATTACTATTTACTATTATTGCAAGTTATATGTATTTTTCTCTTGGCTGAATCAAAATAAATAAATGGGAACAATGTATTTGTTTCCATAAATTGTATATGTCCGTTACAATATTCATGGTGATTATGTGTTATTATTATTTGAACATATTCATTTTTACAAAGGATTGATAAATAAATTGCATACATAGATCGAGTAATGATAATACCAAGAATGACCTGCAAAAATGAAATTTAAGGAACCGATCGGTATAGTTGGAAAATAAACCCTTGATCTTCTTTTCCACAATGGTTCCATCCAGGGGTCGAGTCACAACTTGGTTCCCTTTCTTGTGTGTGTATGTGTGCTTCCCAATTGCATACAATTACAAGTTGTAGAGTTCCTTAAAAATCGTTCTCAATAAGCAAATCCGATATTGGTAATAGGCATGGTTGGCATTGGACAACACATCCTGGACATTATCCAATATGTTCAAGGTGTATTGTGATTGATGTTATTGATGAGGGTAAATCAGATTATTGTGGAGTTGGAGTTGCTCGAGTGAAGGATGTAATTGTTTGTGACGTTGCTGTTGATCCTACGCTCAATATTATGCGTGGATTATTGTCAACATATTAATATGCCGGTAGTAATTTATTATATTCTCTACGTTGGATTGTGACGTTCTAATAAGATAGTTTTTATTCACATAAAAAATAATTTACCATATTCACTCTGTTATTAACTTTTGATTTTGCTAATTTCTCCATATGATCATTCCAAAAGTCGATGTTTGCTTTGAATTTTATTGGATTCCTAGTTTAAAAAGAAAAATATTAATTAATATATAATCACTTTCACAATATATATTGCAAACAAAGTGTCACAAACCACGCGCGCCATCGGAACTGCTTACTTTCTGTGACAAAGTCACTCGGCCGGCGACCGCGGGGGCATAGTTTCATTCGAACAGCCCAAGCCATACGTGCCATCGGCACATTCTCCACTTCAAGCGAGCGAACCGCTTGCCTTCTGTGATGGTCACTCGGCCGGTAACCGCGGGGTATAGTTTGTGCAAATACGCTAGGAAAAGTGGAAAACTTAACTTTAAGCCATTGTTTCATTCTATTTGCGCGCTGATGTAGGAGTCCTTTTTCCGGATTTAAATTATAGACAAACCTTCAATATACTTGGTGTCATTGTTATTCAAAAAAATATTCATTTATAGCTTCTTCTAAGAGTATTGGAACAGGCCTCTTGAGGAATGGGGAATTATCAATTGGATATGGTTTACATCTGAAGCGAACAAATATGATTCCCACAATTCACTTTGGATCTGAACTAAAAACGCTTCTTGAAATACTCCCGGTCTATATAAATTTATCATTATTTTTTACTATTTACATATTATAAACCGATCGAGCAAACGTAATCAATCTTTCTTATTTTAAAAGTTTTATCAGTAAGTTATTCATGGTCACATTTCAATTGACAATAATGTCCTTTGGTTACCATTTTCATTCAATTTACACACCACTTCCTCAATTACCTCTACATAAAATTAACTTTAGATACAGGCTTAGTTTGTGCTTGTAAACAATTATCACAATTTCCGCACAGAGGACTTAGATCATCACCATTCCATGTAAAATATTTTTCAGCATATACAGTTCACTCTCTCTACATGGTTTAGTATAAATTCAATGCGTGGATCACATAATATTTCAAAAATTTTAACTTTTGAGTATAGATGGTCTGCACTGTATATCTAATAATTTTCATATGGGGCATACTGCAACAAAACCAGACAAAGTGAACATTGGTATTTCAGTATTTCAGGGATCAAAATTTAGTCATTTGAAATGTGATTATAATTATCAGTTTTATAATATCCCATTTGTTATC